AGCTCACAGCAAATAAATGAACAGAAGATTTCTGTGCAGTGCTGAGCCAGTGAGACTGATACAATTATGAAATGTGGGAGCTGGAAAGATGCTGCTGCAGAGTTTGAGGCTGCAACAATGAGCCCAGCTCTGTTTCCATCCCTAACAAAGAGACTGAAATGCTAAAAATGTAGAAGAGAACCAAAAGAATTATGTGAAACTGAAAAAAAAACAAAAACAGATTGCACCATGGCAGAGCTGAATCTGTTTAGTCTGTCCAAGAAGTGATCAAGAGTGACTTTGGTTACTGCAGACCTTTTATAGAGAGAAGAGCAGGGACTGGAGATGTATTTTATTACCAAAAGAAATAAAATAATGGCCAGTGACAAGAAGCACAAGTCAGACAAATCTAAATTCAAAGTCTCTGATTTTTAATAGCAAGGATGATTAACCACTGGAAAAAAAAAACGACCAAAAGGAGCAGTGAATTTCCCCCCTTGAAGTCTTCAGATGGAGACTAAATGCTTTTCCTGAAAGAATTGCTGCAATCCTGGGGAAATCCACTGGCCCATGCCCCAGAGGAGGTCAGGTGTGATGATGTGATGGCCCCTCCTGGCTTAAGAGTTCATTACTGTGGAGCTGGGAACTTCAATTGATATTTGGGAAGAAACGAGAACTAATTTAAAGAAAGAATAAAACCTGTGTAATGAAAACCAAGAACTTTACACCCTTGAGAAAGGAATATCCCTCTCACCTCATACACTGGATTTTCCTATTATGGAAATGCAGGATTTTTATCAGACATGTCTTGGACATTTATTAAGTACCTCTTTTTCCATTAGGTTAAAGATTACCATGTTGTAATTTTACATTTATTGTTCTACCTTGTGTGCATTTTGCCCCCACCCAGCAAATAACTTCACATCTCCAAAGTGAACTGAACTACAAATATCAGCTGGTTCCTGAGAAGCAAAGCCCTAAAGAACATTAAACACTGCCTTGTCCACATGAAAGAAAGGAAAAAAAAGCAAAGAGCCAAACCAAAAAAAAAGAAAAAACTGCTGCTCCTTTCACCTGTATGTGATGCACCAAATGCTCCCAAGCAGCTGAATTCATCCACAGCTTCTGTGGAAGCACCAAAACCTCAAATCCTTTTCAGATCCTCCAGCTGCAACATGGAGCAAAGTTTGATGCTTTCAGCGAGCCATAAATCTCCCCAGGAGCTGCTGAACCACCGGGCTCAGGCTCCAGGAAAGAGAGGCCACAAGGACTGGGAGGGAATTTTCCTGATCAACCTCCCAAGTCCAGACTGAGAAGATCAAAAAGAGCTTCTAAGTGCTCCCTCATTAACAACCCGGCCCCAAATGAGAAAGTCAGGCACACAGGAGTCCTGGATTTTTCCTAAATTCTCAGCCTGGAGGAGCTGCAGCCTTTTGTGCTGAAGAATTTCCCATTCATGTTCAGCAGAGGTTCCATGCAGACATCAAAGGAAAACATTAAATTTCCCCAGCAAGCCTCGGGCTAACTTCAGAGGATACATCACTGAGTAATGTTTAGCAGTTGGATCACAGTAATTCAGGGGAAAAGAAAGAAACTGCAGGACGCCCACAAGACATTCTCCACATATTTCCATAATCAGGGACATTTCTGCTGAATTACTGCTCACATAGCACAAAAAATCAGCACCCAGACACTCAAGTGGCATCTTTGGCCTGGATCTTTCTGCTCTTGTTCCCATCCTCCTTTAAGGGCACCAAGAGCACGTGGATTCCAAAAGAAAGAGCTGAAATAACTCAGGGTAGGTAGAAATCAGCATCACCCCTGCCAGTCTGAAAACTTTGTTTAACTTTACTTGTTAAATGTCTGTTTTGTTGGCTGCTCCCCTCAGGCCCCACTAGAAAATGACGTAAAAGGCACATTTGACAAGAAAATCTCCTATGTCTCCTTCCTGGAGACATTGATTATGGAATATATATTTTTCTCAAACATTCTAGAAACCATGGGATGTTGTGCCTGTAACAAGAAGTACCTTTCACTCATTTTTTTGGCATCAAAATATGCTTTTTAAGTACAGTTGCCTGGCACGGTGATTTTGTTTTTACATTAAAATCAAAAAGAATTGGGACAGCCTGTACTAATTTGAAGGAGCAGACAGGACCTGCTCCAAAATCTTCCAAGCAGACTGGACAAAGCAACAGCATTTTAGGTGGGGAAAAGGAGGAACAAAGACATCCAGTGACTTCCTCAAGGTCACACAGGAATCTGTTGCAGGGCAGGGTTGAGTTCCCAAAGTCTCAGCTCACTCATGCACTGGAAAAAGCAGTGAAACAAGAGTATGTACTAAATTTGGCACAGCCTTTTAAATGATGCATTACTCCAAGGGAACAAGAACCTCCACTCATGCTAAGCCAGACACCAAAGGAACACAGAAAGGAAAACTACTCACTCCACCCAATTTATCTGATCACCTTAATATTTCCTAAGTCCATAAGGCCTCTCTTGGCCAGACAGTCCAACCTACAATTTAGATCTTGTTACAAAATCAGACACACTAAACCACTTTCTCCCTCAGGCTGCAGGAGATAAAAGGCCAAGTAAGCAACATTTTGGTAACTGGCTTCATGTAACAGCTTTGGATTTTCTTAAAAGCCTCAGCATCGATTGTTTTCTTTAAATAGCAATGGTTTATTGAGAAACCTTCTACCCCTTTTAAAGCACAAGGTTTTCCTGAAGTAGAGAAGGGAGAAAAACCTGCCCTGCCAAGGCACATTTGTCCAGGAGGTTTGGATACCTGGTGCTGGCAAAACACTTTGAAGGCAGAGTTAAGTTCACACTGGTGCTGAAGGGCTGAGAGGGGAAACTTGGGAGATGGAGAGGAAGTGAAAGTATGGTCTGACACAGAACAATCCTGGGATTCAGCTCCAGTTGTGCTTCATCCAACAGCTCCAGCCAGTGCTGCAACTTGTGAGCATCCAAAGGAGCTAAAAGCTCCTGCAGTGCAGAGCAGCCCAGCTCTGCTGTGGTCTCTGCAAAGCTCGGGGCAAAAGCAGCACAGGAATTCATTTCATGGAGGCAAATCACCAGCACCCTGCTGTTACATAAAAGCCTGCTTTGTGGGGAATGCTTCCAAGGATGGAGTCATTTGGGCTGTTTGGATCCCATGGCACAGTCAGGTTCAGGATGAGCTGCAGCTGCTCCTGTTTTTGCAGTCTCCCACTCCCTTTTCCATCCTCGTTCCTCCCTTCTCCTCTGCCACGTTTTCATGTGGGAAACGAGCACAGCAACTGCAGTGCCTGCTTCAGGGATGTGAACATAAGGCTGTGATGAAAGAACTGAACCATCTCCCCGAGCCCTTCTGCAAACTGAACTCAAACAGATAAAAAAGCCACGATTTAAGTTTGCCTGGGAAAGTTCCTCCACGTTGGGAAGCCCCTTGAGGCAGGGACTGCCCTTCTGCTCTGTCAAACAGCCACTTGTACAAACCATGATTGCACAACTACTTTTATAAGGTTTCCAATTATACAAAGAATGTGTTTTTATTCATGTTTGCAACCCTGAGAAACAAACCCTGAAACCCCAAACCCTTTGCCTTCCAATTCCGTGACCTGTTGGTGGCTCCAACAGCAATGTGGTCCCAACTATTAATTTACACCTTGGAATAAAATGAACGTTAAGAAGCAGCAGATCCCAGAACACACTGGAGTTAACACTTCCAAGAGTCACAATGTGCTTCCCTCCTTTCCCTCTCCTGTCCATATTTTAGCAGTCAGCATTCCTGGGCAGTTTCTGCCTGCCTTGGGCTAGAAGCTCCAATTCCAAGCAGTTGGCAGCACTGGCAGTGCCCTGCTGGAAGCTACTTAACCTGCAAAGCTGGCTGCATTGGAGCATGGACGTGGAACAAGGAGGGGAAGGAAGCATCAAAGGTGAAAGCACTGGGAATGTACAGCCTTGTTTTTCCCTGGCTGGGGACCAGCTGTGTCAAGAAACAAAAGCAGAGCACAAACTTTAATCTACTGTAAAAACAGCAAGTAAAACAAGCTTCTTTCCTCATCCAGTGAAGCACTTTCTGTGTCCCAGCACAAAATCCAGAGCACCAAATAAAAATCCAGGGAGTCACTGCCCCATCTCAACTGGGCACCAGAGCCTGGAGTAGCCCAGCTGGCCCAAAAGGTGAAGCAGTTTCACCTCCAGGGCACAGATGCTGCTACATTTACATTTCAAACCCCTTGCCAAGGGGCACAGCTCCCCTGTCCCTGGTGATCCCGACCTTTCCAGGCTGCTCCAAGGAGCTGAACTATTCAAGCTGCACACACAGAGCTCACAGCACCGTTTCCACTCAGCTCAGCTCATAAATCTCTGGCTGTGTTTTTTCTGAACACAGATTTTATAAGCTGAATAAACTTTACAGAACAGTTATTCCAAGGCAGCCGAGACCTGGGAACTCGGTGCCTGACCACAGCCAGGCACTGCAGGCTCCAGCAGACACTGGGGAAATTTAGTTTTCCCACTTCAAACTCCTCTTACTGGCCTGCTCATTCTATATCAAAACACTTACTGGCTCTGAGAGCTTTTAATTTAGCTTATCCTAACACCCCTCAAGAGCTGGAAGGGACTCATCAGGATCACTGAATCCAACTCCAGCACAGGACACCCCAACAATCCCACCCTGTGCCTGAGAGCTCTGCCCCAATGCTTCTTGAATTCAGACACGTTTGGTGCTGTGACCAAACCCTGGGGAGCCTCTTCCAGTGCTCAACCATCCTGAGGGTGAAAAGCTTTTCCTGAAATCCAACTAAACCTGCCTTGACTCTGCTCCATCCATTCCCTGGCCACCAGAGTGATCAGTATACTTGTGAGGACTGAAGACCCCAAGCAGTAACACAAAACCAGCAGCTCCCAAACAGATCCTTTGGGCTGAGAGCCCATTTTCCAAGGGAAAAAAAGCAGCTGGATAAGGCCAAGCACTTCCACAGCCGCTGATGTGCAACGGGAGGGAACCGTCTGCTCCAGGGAGCACCTACCTTGGAGATGAGCTCATCGTGGTTGGCCAGGTGAGCCCTGCAGTGAATGCAGCTGTAGGTCCTGTGGCACGAAGGCAGATATGCCTGGAAAGTCTTGGACCTTGTCATCTTCACCATTGGAGCCACGGAGCGCTGGCTGAAGTCGGGGGTGGCCCAGGAGGCGCTCCCGCAGGACGGGTCGCACGGGAAACACCGGAACACGCAGGTAAAGGCCGTGGTTTGGCAGGGGATGGGTGTGTGGGGCAGGCTCCACACGCTGCTGACGCTCCAGACGAAGGGATTTGGGCACAGGAAGGAGGGGATCTCACAGAACCTGCGGTGGAAAGCAGACACAACACTCAGCTCGCGGAGGTGACGGCGCTGCCGCAGCTCGCGGCGGGATTTAGGAGCAGCAGACAGGAGTGATGCCTGGGGATTAGATCAGCAGCACACATCTTTATTCACTTGCTGGCTGCCCTCACAGCTCCCTGCTGCTGTTATCTCCACCCATTCTTCCAGCTCTGGAAATGCCTGCAGAGGTGTGAAGGTGATTCCCACCCAGCCAGGGAGAAAGTGGGGAGCACAGCCAGCCCTGCTGTCCCCTGGCTGACTCACTGCTGTGACACCCCATGGGAAAAATGAGAGCTGGACCTGGGTTTTCTGAGCCATCAGGTAAGGCCATGAATCACCAAACCTGTTTTTCTCTCCATTCTGCCCTACTTTCCCCATGGGAAATGCAGGATTCCTTCATTACACTCTCCTTTATAACTCCCTGCAAGCACTGAAGGTAGAAACTACTCTATAAACTGCACTCCAGCATTTTATTTTTTTTTAATCTGAACATCTGACAGCAGCCAAAGCAAGGCACAGCCTCTGAAGACTACTCCTGATAGCAAGAGACAGTTAAAAACCCTATTCAGGATGGAAACACCATTTTACACTCCGACATCATCTGACAGCACCTGCAAGGCAGCTCAAGTCTGGGTCTCTTTTTGTTGGCAGAAATGGGAGTTTTCAGATCCCACACCTACAAAACTCCTACCAGCGACGAGTGTTCCTTTTGAGGATGGAAAAGCATCAAGGAAGCAGCTCCCCTCCCTCCTGGATCCATGGCGTGTGTGCATGCTCTACAAATTAATCCTGAACTCTGGCTGCTCCTCCCAGAAGGATTCTCCTTTCCATAAAACCTCTGATTCTGCTCAGCTTCTGAGCCTGCACCTTGTGGGTCCAACATGGAACAACACCAACATCCCCACTACCACCCATCCCAAAATAAAGAAAATAAGGAATAAAATCATAGGCATCCAGGAAAACCATGCCTCCAACACTTTCCCCAAACCTTGTCACGGTTGACAAAGCAAATTCAAGGTATCCAAGCCATGGGGTGTTCAGAGCTCTGTCCAGCCTGGCTTGGACACCTCCAGGGATGGGGCAGCCACATGCTGTGGGCAGCCTGTGCCAGGCCTCCCCACCCTCACAGGGAAGGATTTTTTGGTGATGCCTACCCCAAAGCTCCTCTCTATCAAGCCATTCCCCTCGTCCTGTAAATATTCCCCCTCTCTCTCTCTCTCTGGTACCAGAGGGACCATGACAACACACAGAGCTCAACAGGAGGCAGAATCCTGTAAAACAACAGGATACCCATTTTTCCCCCCTTTTTTTTTCTGAATTATTTTTTCTTCTGCTCTCCAGGAGGCAGCTCCCTCACAGTCAAATGGGAAAATAGCATCTTGCTCATCAGGCAAACTGCTGATAAAGCCTATCTATCATGATCACAACAGTCAGCACTTCCAGGGCAGTGCTCATTCCTAAAGCTTTTTGCAAATACCAACTAATCAGATTAACCTTTTCCAATTAAAGTTACAGCCACAGCTAAGCAGGACCCATCCTGACACAGAAGGGATCATTTCCAATCTTGTGAGGAACTCACCCCTCTCATGTCCAGTCCAAATGAGGTTTTGCCAGGGATTTACCTGGCCAGTTGCTAAGGACTGGGCACTGTTTGCTCCACAGCTGCAGCTCTGGATTTCAGCAAGATTTGCTTTTTACACTCATCAGTCTTCACCTGTATCCCGCCCCAGTTCTCTGCGTGCACCAGAATTTCATCAGAACTGAGTTCTGCATTAGTCAGCATTGTTTTCCCATCCAAGGTGAGAAGCACTCGAGGACTGCAGCCTAAATTAGCAACAGGGCAGAAACCAGATGTAAACCAAAGCAGAATCCTCATTTTTCAGCTGCTACAAAGCCATCCCCAAATGTGTGGTGTGTTTTATCCCAGCCCTGAGGGACCCCAGAGCCTGGAATCCGTGAGGCTCCAGGTGCAGGGAAGCAGGAGGCCAAGTGTGCCCTTCCTGGGACCAAATGCAGCTGGATCCCAAGGCACTGCCTGGAGACAATTCCCTTGGGCAGAGCTGGAGGAAAGGGCTGGCAATCACTTCACCTGATTGCTGAATGAGAATCCAGGCTGTGTCCAAACCTTAGGCTTGATTTGTAATGAAATGCTGCAACCCCCTCTCACCTTCACTTCAGCATGGATCAGTAAAATAATCAATCACCACTTTTACCACCTCCATCCTGCCATGCCAAACTTTCCCTTCCCCATCAGCTGGAGAAGGTAATCCACAGGCACCCCCAGAGCCTGGAGAGATAAATAAACCCCAACTACAATAACATCCCAGCAATCCTTTAATTTGTTGCTTGCTGACCCCTCTGTCCAGACTTGCTAAGCATCAATGCTCCAGAACAATGAATAAACCAGGAAATACTACAGCTGCATTTATCTGACAGAGCAATGAACACACACAGGGATTATCTGCTGCACACAGCTTTCTGCAAAAGCAGTTAATGAGCATTCATTTATTTGACCTCATAACACATTGAACATCAACAAAAAACATTTGACCCTTTTAAAAGCAGACAAAAAAAAAAAAATTGGGCGAGATGGTATCAGAGGAACTGCAATTCCTGTTCTCAGGGCTGTGCTGAGAAGGCAAACTCCATCTCTCTGCTTCAGGCAGGGCAGAGAATAAAGATTTGTGAGCCAAGATCTTGGTGGGAAGCCTTGTTAAGAAAATGCCTTGAATAAAAACTTCAGATAAGCTCAGCTATAATTTATCAAGACACTGCTTTGACACAGTCTAACCACATGTGTATTGTCTACCAAGAGCTCTGTCCTCATCAGTGTGGGAGAGGAGGTAAAACCTACAGGAAATCCATTCTGACATTCTACAAGCACAGCCAGCAGCTTATAAGGACCAATTTCTGCCTTAAATATAATTTTGAAATGTATTCTGCGGCTCCCAGCAATGCAAAACCCAACCTCTTGGATTTTTCATGTCCTAATGACAACTACATTTGAATTAAGAGACAATTACCAGCTAACAGTGCATTTGTTCTGCTGCAGAACAAAGGCATGAGGATGAATTTGGGCTGTGCCTCTGGTTTTCAGAATGATGAGCTCATGTTCATCAGCATCACAGGCAGCGGGCAGCAGTGGAGTCATTCCACTCACTTTAAAAAAGAACAAAAGAAGCTTTGTTCACTTTATCATCATGTCCAGTACCGTCAGAGAGATGAGTATCTGCCACCAGCAACATCATCCATTATTGTTCTTTTCTCATTCAAGAGAAATTTATCTCTGGGATGCACTCACTCAATTCAACCAAGAGAAATTTGTGCCTATTAATTAATGCTCAGCAAGTCAGAAAGCTGGTTTAGACAAAAAGGAAGGAACCCCAAAGAAAAAACTTGCAGCATCATTTGTTGTGGGTTATCAGTGAGGAAATCAGCTGAACGCTTTGCTTGCCTGCACTGGGTGTGTGGGGCTGTCCTGCTGCATCCTGCTGAGTTCTGATATCAGCTGCCTGATGGAAAAACCACCACAAACATTTTGCCATTTGGGCAACTTTTGGGGTCAAAAACCAACCCTCAACCGGGGGGGGCCAAAAACCAACTCCCAAAACAAACCGGCAACAAATCAAGAAACAAAAAAAAAAGGAGGAAGTCTGTGCCAAGCACTTGCCAGACAAGGCCACTGCGTGTACAAGTCCATATGCCAGAGAACAAAACCATCACACACAAGCCTAATTTTGAATAAAATCCATTTGCAATGCAGCTCAGATGCAAATGTTCGTTGTGGCAGGACAAACAACAGGTTTGTTGGGTCTGAGAGGTTTTTTTTAATGGATTATTCAATTTTAAGATAAACTTCAGTCTGTGAAATACTTACTAGAACATAGCAAATGCTACAGAAAGCTGCTTGCAGCAGCTCTGAAATAATCTAGGTATTTGGAAACCCAACCTTACTCCTTTGGTGGGTCTGTTCCACTAATATAGTAAAAATCTGAGATGTGCTGATTCCCAATGCAAGGAAAACGCAAAAGGAATTGGGTTTGCAAAGTTTTCTGTGTCAAAGCTGGGTTGCTCCAGGCTCTGAGCAGGACTCTAAGAAAATTCTCAAGGTAAGTACAGCCACTTACCAAGGTTTGCTTGACAAAAACTGCCTTAATATTCCTTAATGCAGCTTGAAGGAAGGCTGGTCTAACTGGAGTTGGGGCTTGATCCCTGTTCTGCTTCCCTATGGAACAGGAGTTATCAGTGGCAGGTGTTGGACACTCAGAGACACCTGGCACTGCTAAAGGAGCATTTTTTACTCTGATGGTGACAAAATATCCTGGTTTGGGGCAGTTCTGGGGATCCACAGCTCTGGGAAAGATGAAGCAGATCGTCTGAAGGTGGGAGGGTGGGATGTACCTTGTGGAAGGTCTGGGAGGAAGGATGAACATCCCGAATTTAACCAGGGAACAACACAAGGGAAAGCCAAGGAAGGAGCTGAAACAGCAGATGGGTGAACACAATGTGCTTCACTCCTTCAGCATCAAGTTTCTGAAATGCACCAATTTCAAACCCTGCCTAAGGTGACACTGCAAAGAGCTCAGCAGCACCACTGATTCTCCTCTAACACCTCAGCTCATCCTCCAAACCCTGCAAGCAGGAGAAGAACATGAGAAAACGTGGAAACCAGCCAGCAGGAACCCTCTGCACTGACTTTTATCAGCTGCATGGACACAATTACAACATGAATAATAATATTTAACCCCTTCTCCTCCTCTGGGTGATTCCTAACAAGTGAGAGGTGCTCATCACCGTGAGGAAGCACTTCATGGTTTTGGGGAAAAGGGGATGGAGGGATGGATGAAGGTGATGCTGATGGCAAGCAGCATTCCAGACACCTGCCAGGAAACCACTAGAGGGCATCGGGAGGAGCTGCAGCAGGAGGCGATCCCAGCCTCTCCAGCCGGCCACAGGGAATCCGGGACGGGCAGGATGCCAGCC